GTTTAACCATAAAAATGTAATAGGAAATACTTCTTTGGGGAAAGATTTCACAATAATAAATTCGGGGATTTAGATCAGTACCAATATATAGGTTCTGATTTGTCTCAATACTTGTAGCTCTTTCTCTCTCTTTCTTCATTTCTTCCTTTTACCTTTTATTTTGCAGCACTAAATGTTTTTACAGTACCTCCTGAATTGTTATTTTAGCTACTGTGCTACACTAGGGCATAATTGAAACCTCTGCTGACAAACTAAGGTTCAATAGGAATGGCAAAAAAGGATAACGAGGGATTCTTCAAGCAGCAGAGCAGGTTTGCTTTTGTGGCTGGACACCTGGGTGTGTGTGCCTGTCCCTAGTCCTCTTTCATCTTACAAGGCACGCAGGCTTTGCCGTTCCTGGACTGCTGAACGGTGTCCCATAAAATTACATCTCCATCTGGAGTTTAGATCACAGCTTTGGTTTCACTGCTTCTCACTTATTAGTCTTTGAGGTCTTAGTTGAGATTTTGCAAGTAGTGGCAAATCAGGGGTTTTGTATTGCACTTTTTCTTGGTGGCCAGTAGTAGGAAAGTCAGCGTATTTAGCAATGACTCCATTTACTACAAGAATCTTTGGAAAAGTGAAAACAGAAACTGGTGACAGAAGAAATACTTTAATTAGGAGAGTGAGTTCTTGTTGGTGATGACATTATAATCACTCTATGCTTATTTTTATTCTTGGTGACGTTATGAAGCATCATTTATGTACAACAAGTATGATAAAAGTGCAATGTTACATGTGCAAAAGCATTTCTTTCAGTGTTATTTTGTCTTTAACATTCATCTTTCGGGTGGTAAGGCTTCTTATTTTTTCGCAGTGTTTTAGATGGTCTCAGGGTATACTGTCTATGTTTACCTGTGGGGTTTGTTTTCAATTTGTGATTTACAGGACTTTCCAAGTGGTTTACATCTATATTTCATCCTTTGACAGGGTTCAATATTTTTAGATATGGCAAGCTGGAAATAAATCAGACTATTTGATTTTATCCACAGCTGTATCTCTTCTAAATGTCACAATTAGGAACACTGTTTAAAGCAGTATAAAATGTAACAAAATAAGATTCCTGCAAATGTACTTAATTGTGGATCGCATGAAATTTGAAGGTTCATTTTGCTACGCTTAGTGGAAAAGACCTGGCAAGGTGCCATTCCCAGAGGTCTGCCGAGGACTTTGTCTGTTGTTTTGTGTACTGGCTTTGTGTTGCTGAAAAGCGGATAGTCGTAACTGCTGCAGGCTGAGGAAGAGTTCAGGTGAGGAAACCCGAATGTTTCCCAAAGCCTGCAGGGTGGTTTGAGATAGAGCAGGCAGCGGATAGTAGCCTTCCTGTCATTCTGTATTTTTTGCAGAGCGTCCCTTATACTAGTAATGGTCTTTACCAAGGATGTTGAGCTTGCTGATCTGCATTTTTTTTGTGAATTCTGATCACTTTACATTATTTGGGGGGTACAAAAGTGCAAAAGTTGCCGGGAGAAGGTTCCCCTAGGGTTGGAATTCTCCTGCAAGCAGTAGCTACTGAAAGCATTACAATGAGCCAGCACATCGCCTAAGAATGGTGCTTAAGAGGAAGAGGAGTATTCTAAAATTGTGGTGAAGATGAGAGTAGTAGTATGACAACTTTCAACAAATGAACTAGGGCAGTCCCTTGGTTGATGTAAATGGTACCACAGTTCTTTGATTTGCTTCCCGTTTTCTCAGTGTCAGACCGAGCTCAATGTGTGAAAACTCAAACCCAGAAGTTTACTGGCCAAGAACAAAGTCAGTTGGACCTGTGGATAACTAGGATTTGACTTAGGAAGGGAGAGGAGTGGGAAGAATGGGGTTTCTGACAGAAGCAGGTTACCAGAACATTTCTTTTAAAAAATGAAAGTCCTGACACAGTTAACGCTGCCACTTTGCAAGGCTAACTTTGGGGAAAACCTGCCACGATGAATGAACCTCTTTGCACTTACCGCAAACTTACTGTGGCAAACTTAAACACTCGAAACAAAGCACAACATGATTTTTTTTTTCTTCCCACAAAAGTGTGAGATTTGTATATGTGCTTAAAGTGCGAGTGCCAAGGCATAGACTGGAGCAAGAAGGTGGATTTCTGGACTACTGAGTTCTTCTCATGTTTCTCCTATAGTATCAAATTTTGGGGGACAAGAGGGATCCCGTCTCAGTCAGCTGCTGGCTATCCTAGCGCCAGCGCTTGAGTCTAGCATACGAGATACCTGCTCGCTCTCCTGCCAACCGCTGGAAAGTGCTTCTGAAGGCCGTCTACTTAAGGGAGTCATTCGGCTTTGGGGTTAGTGTTGCAAAAGGGTCTGTTGTGCTGCTGAGGAGTAAAGGGTGTATTAAAGCCTGGGAAAACAAGTGGATTCAGTGAATTACCTGTAGGAGATTCTTTGAAAAGTTCTGCTCCCCTGTGAAGAGATGCAAGGTCGGGGACTTCAGAGCAGTTGTGAGAGTGTGACACAGAGCGGGCTTTGACTTTTCTGTACAGAGAGGAGGACTAAGATGCTTTGGTATGAGTTTCATGCTTGAAAACCATGCCTTTGTGTTTTGGTTTCTTCACTGCTGCCTGATGGGATAGATTTGCAGCTCAAACAACAGCAAAAAAAGAGCATGGGAACTTACAAAGATGTTGCAACATGTTCCTCTGCAAAGGCTTTGAATCCTACATCATAAGACATATACTTTGTTGGAATATGATGTTCTAACTAAGTTTGGCAAAACGCGAACATGTTTGCTTTCTGAGTAGTTTGCCCTAATGACTTTGAAGCATTTTGACAAACAACAGTAATATTGTTAAAAGGCTCTGGCAGTAAGCTTATCCATTGCTCTCCATCAGATGTCTACACAGATTGTTGCTTTCTGCAAGCATTATTTCAAAGGAATGCCTGCTACTCAGTTTGCGCCACCCTTTCTGCTTGAGCCGATGCTTTGTTTCACTCTCTTCTATGTTTTCTAGCAAGTTCATTTCACATTAAATAGATTGCTCTCTCTAAGGATTTTTAGGTCCAGTTTACGTTGGAACCTTGGCTATATGAACTTTGGTTGAGTCAAGCATTTGGTGGGATTCCATCTTACATCCTTTCATTTTTATAACTGCATGAAGAAGCGATGGCTGTGTACATACACCTTACTGTCATAGGGGAGTGCCTTGGAAGAGTTGAAGAAAATCAGTGTGAGTTAATTACGGGAAGGCCGGCCTTGCATGAACGTTGCTGAAACATCACTGGTGTCAGTTAAAGGCAGCGACTGCTTTCAGTGTTGTGGGAACCAAACATCAAACGCGGTTGCAATGGTTGGGACCAGGTCATTCTCAGAACGGTCGGCTTGCATCTGAACCTGCCCAGAGCTCAGAAGTAATATGTGCGCATATTGCATTTTATTATTATAATGTATAGTTTTAACATGAGCTGAAGCCTTTACTTGTTCATTAGTCATTTTATATTTGTAGTTCAGGCTGTCTGAATGTAAGATTAAACATTCCATGTATTTGCCAATTGCTGGCAAAAATGTTGTTGTCGGTGACACTTTGTAGTTCAGGTTCCATTCAGTCCCATACAAGTATATAATCCCATAACCAAAAGCGACAACGAATGTAACTATTTTGTGTGTGTGTCATTCCAGCACGTATTCATACTCGTTACACACCATAGCACCTGAGGCTTGTAAAGGAGCTGAATGGTCCCATCCTGGAGCATTCATCAGTCAAGGAAAAATTGTAGAGCCATTTTGAATCTACCTCACAGTAATTAAGACAAGAGAGAACCCTGTACCGCTCAGTTATCCTTAGAAGGGGGCTGGGGAGAGCCTGCTCTCTCTGATTAGAACTGGCCCCCCTGTGAAGGGTAACCGGGTAGAAACCGATGGGATGCTAGGGCCAGCTGCCTGCTGACCTGTATCGCAGCAAGAGTTTGAAGCCCCAGAGAACGGGGTTGGCTAGATGTTCCGATTCTTTGAGGATAACTCTGTTTCTGAGGGATTTGGGGCTTAATTTTTCAAATGCACCCCCAGCTCCACTTAGGGGTTGCATGTGTGTTGCAATATGTTCTATGGGACTCTGTCACCTCCAGACGGGCAGCCTGTCTCCGTTACCTCCAGCTGTTCCTGAAGCATTTGAAAACTGCTAATTATTTCTCAGCTAACTACGTGGGGGTTTTGGTTCGGTTTGGATTTTCAGTTCTGCAGTGGGCCTCTTCTGGGATAATGGGTGGATTCCAAAATGCAGTCCTCAAAATGATTTTTATCCTGCTGGGTACAATCATTATAATGAACTCAAACTGAGAGGGAATGTCCTTATTCTCAACGTTGGTCGGGTTTTTGTTTGCTTTGGTTTTTGGTTCGTTTTTTTGTTTGTTTAATAATTACTATTCTAGCTAAAAAAAAAACCCAAACAACCCTAAACCGAAACAAAAATAGAACCCCAAAACAAGATCAGACATGACATAAACAAGAGCTGAACGATCTAGCATCAGAGATTGTCCTTTTTGGATACATTTGCACTCCTCTGAAACCAAACCCGGGGGATATATCAATTCAAAAGCAAGCTCATTGCAGTTATTATCTACATGAACATGAAATACCATGTGAATCACAGGAATTAAATGGTCATGAAATCTGTACTCATACATTTGTCTTGTTTTGTAAATATCAAATAGATGCAACTTGAATTAATAATGTTTTTTGAGTTAGAAACTCAGAAGGCATTAGCAACATTCTGAAATTTAGTGCTTTATGTAAACACAGTGAGACCCAGAGCGGTAGGAAAAAACCCAAAGCATTCAAAGGCATGCAACGGGGTAATTCAATAACCCTCACATGTAGAAGCATTTTGCTCCGTGGGACTTTAACTTTATGTGCGAGGCAGGCTGGCTGGATGCTGGAAAGCAGTTCCCCCCCACCGCAACGCCATTTACATGCATAGCTGGCCTGGTAGGTGTAAAAATAGACAGGCAGCGCCTGAATTGGAAATGGTCACCGACTGCTGCCCGCAGTTGCTGGGGTTTCGGGTTCTGCGTGACACAGGACGGCTCGGGGAAGGGAGCCTGGTACGAGCGGCCGGGGAGCGGAGCACGGGCGGGAGCCTCCTCCGGGGCCGTCAGCTGTCCTTCGGGAGCGCTGGGCACCCCTGGCCGCGCAAGGCAATCCCGCTTGCAGGGGGTAGCAGAAGAACTGATATGGGCAATGCACCGATTTGCCAGTCTTGTCATTCCGATAAGGGCTTAAGAACACCGGGGAACATACAGGATTTGGATAAAACCCCTGACTATTATGGATGCACCAGTGAAGAAAATAAAGATCCTGAAGGCCCGGTAAGTCTTGGCTGAAGAAAAGAGGAATCACAGGAAAAACTTAAGGTCAGGGTTGTGCATGTTAGATTTTAAAAAGATCTCTTTGCTCAGCCTGAATCTTACTTGATAGCTTGCGATATTAAGAAATCTGCTAAGTGTGTCTATGTTCAAGCTTTGCTTTTGCTATTGTGACTGTCTGTAATTAAAAATTAGCTGTCAGTAAGCTAAGCAGTCACTTAAAATTGTTGTCAGCTACCGAAAGGTTAGGTACATGGAGAGAGACCACTGTCAGTGAAACAAGTCCTTCAAATGAATGGGTGTGATCAGTTATCCTCGTTCACGCAACTGCTATAAACAATCCTGCATCGATTGTTCTCAAAACTTCAACTCTGTAACTTTTTTTTAAGCTGTTGTCTGTCCAGTACATGATATTATTTTCTGGGTTTGCAGTAGAGATGGAAGCCCACCGCTCTCTACGCGGAGGAGGGTTACAGTGAGCGGGACCAGGCACACGCAAGGGGGTCACGCTGGTGACTGTGGGACTTGAGAGTTAGGCATGCAGCAAGCGGTTCTCACACTCACGTCAGCGTTTGCGCTGCCAACCAGAAGAAACTTATTGACATGAATACTTGTGCAATGTCTAGGGCAAATGGAGTGCCTCTTGTCTCTTTTTTCTTCTTTTTTTTTTTTCCCCCCCCCCTTGGGAAATTCATTATTAAATGGTTGTTTCATTCCAAATTGGCAATGAAAGGATTAGTGTCAAAACTTCTGGTAGGACAGGAAGATCAGAAAACCTTTAGTGTCCATATATCCAAGTATTATGTTTTCCGATATTGATCTAAAATAAAGTTGTTCTCAGGTCAACATTATGCTTTGCACTTGCATGAGTTACTGCGCTGCATTATAGGAAAAGTAGCTGAGTGAAGGGAAGAGGAGACCGGAGGTGCTCCCAGCAGCAGCTCACAAGAAGTTCTGCTTTGTCCTGGAAAATAATTTTGATGCTGTCTTGGTTTTCTAGTAGGAAATTTTTTTTGGCTGAAATTTTTTGACCAGTTTTACTACTTATTTCACTGACAGCACAGTTGGATGTGTTCTTCAGAAATAAAACTTTCTTCAAGGTAAAACGTGAAACTAAACTGTTTCTTTGACTTTTCAGACTTTTTTTTTTTTTCTCCCACCAAGCCGTTCTTGATTTAATTAACAAATAAGCTCCAGCATTTGAGATGGGAAACCTGCAGTCAGGGGGAGGGACAATGCAAGCACAGGACTTCCCGGGGCAGCGGCAGGGAGGACAGGCCTGCTCCCGTGGCTGAATATGGGGATTTCAACAGACCTTACGGTATAGCCCTTACCGTGAGCGACCTGGAGCTGTCAGCGGCTGTGTGGAAGTTCCCTGTGACACAAATAAGCAGACTCTGAAGCGGTTCTCTCTCTCTCTGAATGTGCAGTCTCCAGGCTGCCCTTCTGCAGAAGGTCAGGTCTTCGAGGAGGCAGGAGTGAGCCAACCGGAGCAGCATGTGATCTTCGAGGGGGTTTGGGGGTTGGTTTGTTGTGCTTTGGTTTTTTTCCTTTTTTTGATACTTTTCAGTCAGCCTTCAGAGCTTTTCATAGCAGGCAGAGATCAGGCACTTTGATAATGTCTTTGATTCAATTAGTCATAAGATCTTGGCTTTCTATGGCTCTGGTAGGGGCTGACAGCATTGCTTTAAAATGTCTGCCTTGATTCAGATGGTACAGTGCTTGGAGGATTACAAAGGAAAATTGCTGTATTTCCCTAAGAAGGTTTACAGTTGCTCATTATACTTCTTATTATGATTCCTTACAAAAAGATTAAAAATAAAAGAAAAACAGGTGTCTGTAAATTAGAAATGTCAGCAAAGTTTTGTCCTGAAGGGAGAAATTGTATATATTTTCTTTCCCAAACAGGAACATAGTATCCAGCACAATACTTTGTTAGCTATACATTTCCTATGCTTTTATACAGCTGTAGCCATGCTCGCTGTGTTGGTTTCTCAAAAAGAGTGCCCCATCAAGCTGAATGTGATGACTCCATGAAACTGGTACCAGATATAAGGTTCAGAAAAATTCCATTGGTACAGAGCCAACTCAAGTGGCAGAATTGCTTTGCATAATCTAATCTTTTCTAAACTGAAATCAAATACAGTCTGCTGCTTCAGGTCCATCTTGCTGAAGCAATCAGGAGTGTGTTGGTTTGACTATCCTGAATTGTCTATATGAGGCCAAGTAACTTTCTGAAATGGGGAGTCAAATTTTGTTACTGAGTTCGTATTTGAAATCATAACAGCATTAAAAAAAAAATCAACAAACTATTTCATAATCCTATATTATAGATTTAATTTTTTTTTAGATGTGCCAAAACAAAGACATCTCAGATGACAAAGCACTGGGGCTGTTGCGTTCACTGTACATTAGTCTCCCTCTTTACTTGGATATTTAATTACCTTCGTATTTCCTCTGGAAAGTGTATGATCCAGTCTTGCGTCATGGTGCGGGATCATGTCGTATTTCCGACTACCTAGGACAGACTGTGGTCTGAGTTTCAGGGCAGGATCATTCTGAATGCCTGCTGCCTCGTTCAGAGGAGGAGTTTTCTCTCCCTGCTCAAGGGAGTGGATTTGGCAATGTGGACTTTGATGTCGTCGCACAAGACAGCGAGGGAGTCAATAGAGGGAGCTGACTGTGAAGCAGTGATGCTGAGAAGTGATAAGCAATTTGCAAAACCTTGGGAAATATCTGCGTTTGCAGAGTGTAGGACTCACGGTCCAGCTGGTGCCCATTACTACAGCAAATGTGAGTGCGTGCCTGGGATTGAAACCAGAAAGTGTTAAGTACTTCAGTGGGCCAGAGCCGTGCGCTGCAGGGGCTTAAAGACAGTGGAAAATGCGGCCAAAGAGCTATTCATTCTGTGTATTTTAGACTCTTACCTTAAAATGAGATAAACTGCTTTTAGGCAGTATGCCTTTGCCTGACTGTATTACTTGATGCCATAGGGAGCCTCCTATGTGGCCTGCTTGAGTTAGAGGTGTAGCTTTTGTACAGGTGAAGTTAGATGAAACTGATTCCTCTCTTTGCTGCCTAGGGCTGAATCGTTTGAAATTTAGACCCAGGATTACAGGAGTTTTGTTTTACAGATGGTGTTCAGCTGGGAACTAAGGGAAGACAAAGAGTACTTACTATCACGACCAATATACAAACAGCAAATGCCAGGTTAATGAAGAGAAGAGTTTTGTGTGGTTTAGATATGCTTCAAGTGTAACTCCCCAGTTGACTGGGGACAAATTAGTATGAAGAGAGAACAGGACATTATCTGTGCTGGGTACAATGCTATTTGCATGAATCCTAAAAAAAACCTCCTAAATGAAACCTGGTTTCTTTCCACAATGGACAAAGTTAAAAATTCTTCATTTACTACTTTGGTATCTCTTTTACTTTTCTGTACAAGTAAGGTGTTTATGATGAGTCTTGGTAGCAGAACTGGCATTGAATTAGAAACTGCTGCATTTCAGTAGCATCCATTTTGTTTGCGTCTATTTTAGTCCATCTCAAAAGAACATTAAATCATTTTTTTTCTGTTTATGATGCCAGTAAGTTTGAATCGATGGGCAATCGGTTAATGGTGTTTAGGTGAGTAAAGCTGTTTGATTCTTTAGCACTGATGATGTTAGCACATCTCTTTTATTAGAAAATGTGCCCTTGATGATAAGGCAAGGGATAGAAGGGGGTGAAAAATTAATGAGAGTTATGACAGACTGTTGACAGATAATGCTATCAACTTCACTTCCAGGCTGGATTTTTGTTAAGCCTAGTTATTGTTCTGCTAGATATGCGTGGAATGGCATCCTAATTCTTTCTAGAGGTGTTCTAGCATTATTACCTGTCTGTTTAGCAACATCATTAGTAGTGGAAACTTGCCATGGAAACCAGTTAAATGCTTGCCAAGTTCTAAAGTTGTTACTAAGACCTCAAAAACCTCAATATGGGGTATCCAGGTGATCCTAAATATTTTTCCTTGGTTCCGTATCAGTATTTCAGAGACTTCAGTAAATACATGTGTCACGTAGGAGAACTTAGGTCGATCCTGTGGTTCTTTTGAACATATCCCGAATCCTTGTTGTTTCAGGAAACAGCTAAATGATACTTCCACTCAAATTCCAGCACAGGAAGTTTTGCCATTAAACAATGGGATTATCCATTTCTATTTCTAGAGTAGTTTGAAAGTCTTAGTAAAAGACATGAAGATTTTTCTAGTTTTTAAGATTACTCAGACTATGGTAAAAGTTTTCATCCTTTAAACCCAAATCCTTTGGGTTTTCGTTTGTTGGTTTTTGTTTGTTTGTTCCCCCCCCCCCCCCTTGTCTTTTCTTTTTTAAAAAATCCAGGCTATGTTTTCCAGGCGCTTTTGAGATTCTATTTTTTAGATTCACACTGAGGAGTATAATTCAGACTTGCACGTGTTGTTTCCAAGCTGGGACTTCCACCAAAATGTTTGGTTTTGAGAACATGAAGAGCCCAGTGGGACATCAGGGATTGCACATGCCTGAAGTTCAGCTGGTACTGAAGTGCTGTTCTGGATTAGAACCCTGTTACTGATGTTCCTTTATGTTTTAAAATCAGTGTGGATTAAAATAACTTCTATGATTTCAAATACTGTATTTGGGAGGAACATGCAGCTGGGCAAAAGACTTTTATTCTATTCTTTTTCATAGAAAACTATGCAGTTTTGCCTCAGTTCTCACAAATCCTTCATTGACATAGTACAAGTCAGCTGGCAGTGAGGCCAGTATGTCAAATTAATGAAGGTAGTGGGAGTACTCCTACGGATGTCTGTGGCAGCTAAGTATCATAAAGGGCTTATAGAAGATGTTTGCTTCTTGGCTTAAGTAAGGGTTGATTTTACATTCATTTTCTCTTCCTCTTTTGCTGCTGCTGTACTTGCTAATATTGGCCCAAACTCAGGAATGCAGTTAAGCATGCATTTACATCCATCCTTTAGCAAATAA